CACCGCGGCCTCCCAAAGTGCTGGGATTACAGGCGTGAGCTGTCTCCAATGATGTTACTATTTTCATAATGGAGAAACAGTTTTTTAAAAAGAAGTCTCCTTAAGGAAGTAGACTCATTTATTTTTATTTTATTAGCTAGGTGCATTACTTTGATAAAATTTAAAACCCTAACTTACACCGTACACAAAAATCAGTTCCAGATAGATTGACAACCTAGGGTAACTCCAATGAGAAAGCTGTTGGAAAGTAACAGAAGAGGCCAGGTGCGGTGGCTCACACCTGTAATGCCAACAGTTTGGGAGGTCAAAGCGGGAGGATCGCTTGAGTCCAGGAGTTCAAGATCAGCCTGGGGAATATGGCAAGACCTGGTCCCTACAAAAAAATTAACAAAATTAGCTGGGCGTGGTGCACGCACCTGTAATCCCAGCACTTTGGGAGGTCGAGGCAGGTGGATCACCTGAGGTCAGGGGTTCGAGACCAGCCTGGCCAACATGGTGAAACCCCGTTGCTACTAAAAATACAAAAATTAGCCAGGTGTGGTGGCGGGTGCCTGTAATCCCAGCTACTCAGGAGGCTGAGGCAGGAGAATCGCCTGAACCCGGGAGGCAGAGGTTGCAGTGAGCCGAGATTATGCCATCGCACTCCAGCCTGGGCAACAGAGTGAGACTCTGTCTCAAATAAATAAATAAATAAATAAAAATAGAAATAGAAATAAACAAAATTAGCCAGGCATGGTGGTGGTGCATGCCTGTGGTCCCAGCTACTGGGAGGCTGAGGTGAGAGGACTGCTTGAGCCAGGGAGGTAGAGGCTGCAGTAAGCTATGATGATGCCACTGCACTATAGCCTAGGTGACAGAGCAAGACCCTATCTCTAAAAAAATAAAATAAAAGTAAATAAACCAATAAAAATGGACAACCCAATAGAAAACCGGACAAGACACTTGAACAAGCACATCACAAAAAGGATATCCAAAAGACCGATATGCAAATGAAGAGATGTTCAATTTCATTACTCAGCAGACAAATGCAAATTAAAACTACAATGAGTTACCACTACACACCCACAAGAATGACTAAAAATAAAGCACTTGACAATGCTTTATTGGTTTTAGGTGTTGGCAGCGATGTGGAACAATGGAAATGTTCTAACGTGGCTGGTGAGAGGAGAAGAAATTATTATGATCACTTTGGAAACCTCTTTGGCTGTATCTACCAAACATAAATATATAGACACCTTATGATCCAGCCATCTTATACTCCTGGTTTACATCCAAGAGAAATGTATATATATGTTTAACAAAATATGTACTAGAATGTTGATCGCAGCACTATTTGCAAAAGCCAAAAAAAAAAAAAAAAAGGAAGTAACAAATTTCCATTGACAATTGGTTTTGATAGATAAACCAACTGATAAACAAATTGATAAATAAATCACTGAAGGCTGGGCGCGGTGGCTCACAACTGTAATCTCAGCACTTTGGGAGGCCAAGGCAGGCGGATCACCTGAGATCGAGAGTTCGAAACCAGCCTGGTCAACATGGTGAAACCCTGTCTCTACTAAAAATACAAAATTAGCTGGGTGTGGTGGCGCATGCCTGTAATCTCAGCTACTCAGGAGGCTGAGGCAGGAGAATCGCTTTAACCTGGGAGGCAGAGGTTGCAGTAAGCCGAGATCACCCCATTGCGCTCCAGCCTGGGCAACAAGAATGAAACGCCGTCTCAAAAAACAAAAACAAAAACAAAACTCCACCATTGATACATAAATTGGGGTGCATTCACACAATGGAGGCTACTTGGCAATGAGAATGAAAATGGGTTGCAATTATACGCCCAACTCAGATAAATTTCCCTATCATAAAGTTGAGTGAAAGAGTTAATCCTGTATATTTCTAGTTACGCCATGTGCAAAAATAGGCAAAATGAAACCACTGTATATAGGGAGGCATACTCAGGTGGGGAAACTAAAGTCAGGTAAAAGTTAAGTGGATTCCTTCCCGGGAAGGAAGAAGGCTATGCTGGAGAGGAAGCAGGAGGGGGCTTGGGGGAAGCCGGTAAGATTATTTTTCTTCCACCTGATTGGTGGTTACATAGGTGTGTTCACTTTGTCCTATTGATTCAGTGGGACATTTATATCTCATGTACTTTTCTGCATGTATATCACATTTCACAATTTAAAAGGTTTAAACTGACGGGGCACGGCGGCTAACACTTGTAATCCCAGCACTTTGGGAGGCCGAGATGTGGAGATCACTTGAGTCCAGGAGTTCAAGACCAGCCTGGCCAACACAGCGAAACTCCATCTCTACTAAAAATACAAGGCCGGGTGCAGTGGCTCACGCCTGTAATCCCAGCACTTTGGGAGGCCGAGGCGGGCAGATCATGAGGTCAGGAGATCGAGACCACCCTGCCTAACACGATGAAAACCCATCTCTGGGCAGATCACGAGGTCAGGAGATCGAGACCATCCTGCCTAACACGGTGAAACCCTGTCTCTACTAAAAATACAAAAAATTAGCCAGGCGTGGTGGCGGGCACCTGTAGTCCCAGCTACACAGGAGGCTGAGGCAGGAGAATGGCAACAACCTGGGAGGAGGAGCTTGCAGCGAGCTGAGATTGCGCCACTGCACTCCAGCCTGGGCGACAGCGTGAGACTCTGTCTCCAAAAAAAAATAAAAAATAAAAATAAAAAATTAAAAAAAGAAAAAACAAAAATTAGCCGGGCGTGATGGCACACACCTATAATCCCAGCTACGCAGGAGGCTGAGGCATAAGAATCACTTGAGCTTGGGAGGCAGAGGTTGTTGTGAGCCGAGATCGCGCCACTGCACTACAGCCTGGGGGACAGAGTAAAGTGACTTAGAAAACTAGGCTTATTAAAACTCTGTCTTACTAACTGGGCAGACTAGATGTCTTGGTAATAATTAGAAGATTATTGATAATAATCTTCTAATTATTATAATGATAATTATGATAATGATAATTAGAAGATTGTATGGGGGCACTTGCTCTGTGCTAGGCACTGTTCTAAGGGGTTTATTATTTAATCCTTGCAACAACCCTATAAGGCGCTACTATTGTTCCCATTTCACAGATGGGGAAACTGAGGCACCTTGCGGTTAAATCACTTGTCTAAGTTAGTCAATGCTGAAGATCCATTTATAAGCAGGCCATCTAGCCCCAGAGTCAATGCTCCGTTCCCCACCACAAGCTTATACCTGAGCTATAAGCCCTCATCTGCCAGTCAGGGTCCAACCAGAGGCAATTCCAGTGGGTTTTTTTCACCTGGGCTGGTGGTTGGGAATTCAGGAGCTATGTGAAGGATAGGGGAAATTTTTTTTACCTCTCCTTTTACTACGCTTTAATCTAGCAGTTCTCAAAATGGGTCTGGGGACACCTGTGGGTCCCCAAGACCTTTCTCAGGGGGTTAGTGAGGTCAAAAGTATTTTCATAATTATACTAAGATGTTTGTCCTTTTCATTCTCCAGTGACTACCTGACCTGTGATAATGTCATCACTCTGATGGCTAATAGAAATATATGCATGTATATTCGTGTGTTTTTAAAACTTGTCGTTTTCAGCCAGGCACGGTGTTTCATGCCTGTAGTCCCAGCTACTTGGAAGGCCGAGGCTGGAAAATCGCTTGAACCCGGGAGGCAGAGGTTATAGTGAGCCGAGATCGTGTCACTGCACTCCAGCCTGGGCAACTGAGCGAGACTCTGTCTCAAAACAAAAACCACACACACACACACACACACACACACACACACACACACACACCCCCCTACACCTTATATCACAATAACACTGGTTTCCTTTGTATTTCTGTGTATTTATTTTATACATGTAACAATATGATTCTGAGAAGGGCTTGACCAGCTTGCCATAGGCATCTTTAGGACAAAAAAGCTTAGGAACCTCCCATTCTGGAAGAACTAAGAATAAGGGGAGGTTATAATTGGGGGCCACAGGAGTGGCAGGTATTCAAGTTTGGCTATGAGAGCTACTTTCGTTATATTTTAGGCTGTAATGGAGACTCTGGGAGTGGGAAGAAAAAAAAAAAACTCAAACAGTCAAAGGGCTCATTTTGATTTTCCCACACTCCTAGTGCCAATTTCTGAAATTGGTGTCCACCATCAGTAGAAGCCTATATGCTCTGAATTTACAAAGCCCAGTAGTGGCGGGTCATTGTATCTGCGTTCAGGGAGGGGAAACGACTGGAAATTCGGGCCCCCCAGATCTTTCCTGCTTGTCCTTTTGTGGCAGCCACTCCTCACATTCAAACAGTTTGCAAAAGTTTACAGGGGAGAACCCTAACTTGTTCCCTAGACGTCAGTTTCTGGAGTTCATGCATTAATACGATAAAAAGAACAGCTGATTCTTATCAAACCCTTACTCTGGGCCGGGCCCTGTTATCAGCATGAAATTTCATGCAGCAACTCGTTTACTCCTCACAACAGCCCACAGGGTGTATACGATCATCACCTCCTTTTCACAGGTGAAAAAACCCGAGGTCCAGCGAGGTTGAGTAACTCACCTAGGTCGAACAGCTCAGAAAACCCACTGCAATTCCGGGATTCTAGTTTTGTTTTCGGGTTGTCCCGGGCTTCTGAGGAGGAGTCAGTGGGCTCAGCATGGAGAGGAAGGAAGCCGGAAGGAATTGCGAGGAAGATGCAGCAAGGCTGGAAAGGTTGGGGATCCCCCCGTACCTGCACATCTGGGTACCTGGGGATGGGGCAGGGCCAGGGTAGGGGCCGGTGTCCGTGCCCTGGGGGCCCCCCAGCTGAAAAGTGGGCGCCTGAAGGATGAGCGCAGGCTTACCTGCCGGGCGCTCACCTGGTGGCCGGCGCGGAGGTGGCGGCCGAAACGCACCCAGCCTTCCTGGGTCCCCCTTCCCGCGCCACGCCCTGGGGGGGGCGGTGGGCGGGTGGGTGGGTGTGGGGCGCCCAGGACCGGCAGGACCTGTGGGACCCGGGGCCCTGGCTGTCTAGGGAGGCTGTCACCCCGAGGCGACCGGCTCTTCCGGGGCTGGGACGGCTGTAGGCGGCGAGAGGCCTCGGCACCCACGAACTCATAAATACCGGGGCGGCGCTGGTGGCTGGAGAGGCGCGTGCGGGCAAGCTGGCGCCCCCGAGGGTGAGCCGGGGTCCGGGAGGGCACCCCCGCTCCCGGATGGTCCCGACCCGGCTCCAGCCTGGCAGCTGGAGACAGAGCTGGAGCAGGCGGGGAAGCGCTGGGGAGAAGGCGGGTGGGAACAGATGGTGGAAGGGCAGGGACGCTGGGGATGGGGAGAAAGGATGCGGCCGCTCTGGCCAGGATGGACTTAAAGGATCTGGGGGTGGGAGGATTGGGGTCACTAGGAGCAAAATGGAAGGCTAAGGATGGAGTAGAGAGGCGAGATCCCGGGAGCAGGCAGGAATACTTGGAATCTCGGGAGTAGGTAGGAGAACTGGGGTTTCTAACAGCAGGATGGAGAGCTGGGGATGGGGCTGCCGAATGCAACCTCCTACACAGCCTCCACCCCACTCCCAGGCCCCCAGCACTGAGAGTGAGCTCTGGTTAGGAGCAAGGCTCCGGAATCAGGCCCTCCTGGGTTCAAATCCTGGCTCTATCGCATCCTAGCTGTGCAGTTGAATCACTCAGCTGCCCAGTTTCCTCATCTGTGATATGGGGATGACGATGCTCACAGACACCACCTCATAGCAATGTCATGAGGCTTCTGTGAGTTCATCTATGTCAAGCGGTTGGCACACTGTGAGTGAGGCTCAGAGAGCTCTGCTGCTGCTCCTTAGCCATTCTTATTTTTGGTTTCTCTCCAGCGTCTGGATAACCACCCGTCTTGAAGGAGACCTCCCTGCCCTCCTGCCTCTGTCCCCCAGAGGACTGCCAGATCATCCTCCATTCCCCAACCTCCCAGCCCTTCCTGCTGTACCTGTGGGGAGGTGACCTCCTCAGTCCCTCCACTTTTCCCCTGTCTGCGGTCACCACCCCACCACCATGCACCCCCTTCCTGGCTACTGGTCCTGTTGCTCTCTACTCCTGCTATTCTCCTTGGGAGTCCAGGGGTCCCCAGGGGCCCCCAGCGCTGCCCCAGAGCAAGTCCATCTGTCTTACCCAGGTAAGTGTCCCTGACCCCTTTCTACGCCTCTCCCAGCGAGGCCCAGCGGTGCTTCATTGTTTGAGGTTCAGGAATCCCCACCGTGAGCCCCTAAGCAGGTGGCTCATTTCTCCCGAGCCTCTGTCATCTGCCTCTGTGGAATGGGAAGTACAGGCCGTGGTACACCTGGAAGTGTGCGGAATGATCACGGTGCCCAGCCCGCAGTGAGTGCTCTCCTGCTCTCCTAAGGGGGCTGCTGCTGTCCTTGTTCATTGCATCTCTGTTGCGCTTCTGGGACCTGGCACATTTGTTCGTTTGTGCACAGTAGGCCTCAGAGCCAGTTTTGGAAGGAACCAGTGGATGAGTGATAACAAAGCTGGATTACCCAGCCCCTTCTCCATCCCTCCTCTCCTCTTTCCCACCAGGATGGCTGCCTCCCAATCTCTGATTAGGATCCTTCCACTGTCAGGGCAAGAGCTTGGACTCTGGACCCTCGGCACCCAGCCCAAATGGGTTAGAATCCCATCTTTGCCATGTACCTGCTGCCTGATCTTGGGCAAGTGGCTTAACCTCTCTGGCCTCAGCCTCCTCATCTGGATAATGGGGTGATATTAGTGCAACCTCATGGTGAGGTGTAAATGAGTTGCTACCTGTAAAGAGGCAGAACTGAGGCTGGGTGTGGGGGCTCACACCTGTAGCCTTAGCAGTTTGGGAGGCTGAGGCAGGAGAATCACTTGAGGTCACGAGTTTGGGACCAGCCTAGGAAACATAGTGAGACCTCTGCCTCTTAGGAAAAAAGAAAAAAAATCTTAGTCATGTGTGGTGGCAAGCACCTGTAGTCCCAGCTACTTGGGAGACTGAGGTGGGAGGATCACTTGAGCCCAGGAGTTCAAGGCTGCAGTGAGCCATGATTGGCCACTACACTCCAGCCTGGGCAACAGAGAGAATCCTGTCTTTAAAAAAAAAAAATGTGGTGGAGGCTGGGCATGATGGTGCATGCCTGTAATCCCAGCACTTTGGGATGCTGAGGTGGGTGGATCACTTGACCTCAGGGGTTCAAGACCAGCCTAGGTAACATGGTGAAACCCCATCTCTACAAAAAAATTTAAAAAATAAAAAAATTAGCTGTGCATGGTGGCTCATGCCTGTAGTCTCAGCTACTTGGGGAGCTGAGGCAAGAGGGTCACTTGAGCCCAGGAGGCAAAGGTTGCAGTGAGCCAAGATCATGCCACTACACTCCAACCTGGGTGACAGAGTAAGACCCTGTCTCAAAAAAAAAAGGGTTGGTGGGACAGAACCGAGCTTGGTATGTAGCAGCAATTTCCATACACTTTAAATCTCAGGACTATTTGTTTTACACTGTTAATCTCAGAACTGTTTTACACTGCTAAAACTTACGGAGAACTTCAAAGAACTTTAGCTTATGTGCACTATAGCTAGCAATATTTTCTATTTTTTTTTTTTTTTTTTTTTAGACGGAGTCTCGCTCTGTCGCCCAGGCTGGAGTGCAGTGGCCGGATCTCAGCTCACTGCAAGCTCCGCCTCCCAGGTTCACGCCATTCTCCTGCCTCAGCCTCCCGAGTAGCTGGGACTACAGGCGCCCGCCACCTCGCCCGGCTAATTTTTTGTATTTTTTAGTAGAGACGGGGTTTCACCGGGTTAGCCAGGATGGAACAATATTTTCTAAATGAGGTATTAAAACTGAGGCATTTAAAATTTTTTATTGTCATTTAAAATTAACAATAACAAATATCTTCTGTATTAATGTAAATGATATTTTTAATGAAAAAACTGTATTTTGCAAGAGAAGAAATTGAGTGAGGAGAGTGACATTGCTTGCATCTTTTAAAAATCTTTTATTTTTTACTTTTTTGAGACAGGGTCCCACTCTGTCACCCAGGTTGGAGTGTAGTGGCACAATCTTCACTCACTGCAGCCTCCGCCCTGCAGGGTTCAAGCGATTCTCCCACCTCAGCCTCCCGAGTAGCTGAGATTACAGGCACCCACCACCATACCTGGCTAGCTTTTGTATTTTTTATAGAGATGGAATTTCACCATGTTGCCCAGGCTGGTCTTGAACCCCTAAGCTCAAGCAATCCTCTGGTCTCGGCCTCCCAAAGTGCTGGGATTATAGGCATGAGCCACTGCGCCTGGCCTAAAATCTCTTTAGTATCTGGTTTGGTAACTGACACCTGGATTCTCCTCAGATCTGTTTTCATTTTAGTCTGTTGTGATTTGTTGTTTTGGATTTTGCCTGTGAAGAAAATCTGTTCTTGCACAGACACGTGGTTGAAACAGGGAGAACAGTTGTTTGTTTGTTTTTTGACACAGGGTTTGGCTTTGTCAGGGTTTGGCACTGGAGTGCAGTAGCACAAACATGGCTCACTGCAGCCTCGACTTTCAGACTCAAGCGATCCTCCCACCTCAGTCTCTCAAATAGCTGGGACCACAGGGGCATGACACCATGCCCAGCTAATTTTTTTTTTTTTTTTTTGAGATGGAGCCTCACTGTATTGGCCAGGCTGGAGTGCAATGGCATGATCTTGGCTCACTGCAAGCTCTGCCTCCTGGGTTCAAGTGATTCTCCTGCCTCAGCCTCCCAAGTATCTGGGATTACAGGCACACACACCACCACGCCCGGCTAATTTTTATATTTTTAGTAGGGATGGGGTTTCACCATGTTGGCCTGGTTGGCCTTGAACTCCCGACCTCAGGTGATCCACCCACCTCAGCCTCCCAAAGTGCTGGGATTACAGGCGTGAGCCACCGTGCCAGGCTCTAGTCCTACTCTTTTCTATCTGTGACAGTTCCTCAGTTATTCCTTATCTTTCCTTGTTTTTCATGTCTTTTACATTTTCAAAGAAGATAGTTTCTTCTTTTTTTTTTAAGATAGGATCTCACTCTGTCACCCACACTGGAATGCAATGGCGCAATCATAGCTTACTGCAATCTCTAACTTCTGGACACATGTGCTCCTCCTGACTCAGCCTCCTGAGTAGCTGGAGTAGTGCAGACGTGCACTACCATGCCTGGCTAATTCTTTTTATTTTTTATAGAGATAAGGTCTCACCGTGTTGTCCAGGCTAGTCTCAAACTCCTGGGCTCAAGTGATTCTCCCACCTCAGCATCCCAAAGTGCTGGGAAGACAGGGGTGAGCTACCATGCCCAGGAGAGAAAGAGTTTCTTAAAGGTTAGTTGCAATGTGGAATCAGAAACCACATGAATGAACCGGCTTGGCATTTGCCGGTCTAGTGACCTTGGACAAAGCATTTTGCCTGGAGGCCTCTGTAAAAATGGGAAAGGCAGTAAAAACCCATTTCATAGTGCTGCCGTGGCAATCCAGTGAGATCATGGCTGTCCTTTTTCATCCTACACAATAACAATGGCAAGTACATGCTTATAAGTGCTCTAGATGGATAACTCGTTTAACCTGGTATCCACCTTAAGCTGTAGGTACCATTGCTACTCCCGTTTGACAAGAGAGTAAAACTGAGACCCATAGCAGGGGAAGAGTCTGACCCCAGTTCACATAGCCTGGGAATCTGAATGCTGGCAGGCTGGTTCAGGAGCCCACGATCTTTGTGGGTTTGTTTGTTTTGAGACAGAGTCTCACTCTGTCGCCCAGGCTGGAGTGCAGTGGTGCGGTCTTGGCTCACTGCAACCTCTGCCTCTCACGTTCAAGGGATTCTCCTGCCTCAGCCTCCCAAGTAGCTGGGACTACCAGCGCGTGTCACCATGCCTGGCTGATTTTTGTACTTTTGTATTTTGTATTTTTTTGGTTTTTGAGTTGGAGTCTCACTCTGCTGCCCAGGCTAGAGTGCAGTGGTGCGATCTTGGCTCACTACAACCTCCACCTCCCAGGTTCAAGCGATTCTCCTGCCTCAGCCTCTCAAATAGATGGGACTACAAGTGCATGCCACTAAGCCCGGCTAATTTTTGTATTTTAATAGAGACAGGGGTTTCACCGTGTTGCCCAGGCTGGTCTTGAACTCCTGACCTCAAGTGATCCGTCCACCTTAGCCTCCCAAAGCGGTGGGATTACAGGCATAAACCACTGCACCCGGCCCCTAATTTTTGTATTTTTCAGTAGAGACGGGGTTTCGCTATGTTGGGCAGGCTGATCTTGAACTCCTGGCCTCAAATGATTCACCCACCTCAGCCTCCCAAAGTGCTGGGATTACAGGCATGAGCCACTGTGCCCGGCCTATTTTAAAACTCTTTAATTTTGTACCACTTTTAGATTTAGCAGAAACGTTCCAAAAATATTACAGAGTTCCTGTCTCCCCTCACTCGGTTTCCCCTGATGTTAACATTTTATGTAACCATGGTACAATGATTAAAACCAAGAAATCAAGATTGGTACAATACTGTTAACTAAACTACAGATCTCATTTGAATTTCACCCGTTTTTCTTCTAATGTCCATTTCCCCTTCCAGAATCTGATCCGGGGTCTCACACTGCATTTAGCGGTTGTGCCTCCCTAGTCTCCTCCCATCCATTAGTTTCTCAGTCTTCCCTTGTCTTTCATGATCTTGGTATTACTGAGTACTGATCAGCTATTTCATACAGTATCTCTCGTTTGGGGTTTGTCTGATACTTTCTCATGACTGGAATTAAGTTATGTATTTTTGGCAAGACTATCATAGACGTGATGTTGTGCCCTTCTTGGTGCATGATATGAAGGATCAAGATGTGGCTATGACTTATTGTTGTGACTTACTGATGTTGACCCAGATTGTTTCATTAAGGAGGTGCCTGCTGGGTTTCTCCTCTATAAAGTAATTATTCTTCTCTTTGTAGTTAATAAATATCTTGAGGGAGATGGCTCAAGACAATGCAAATCCCATTTCTCCTCAATGTTTGCTCACTAATTTTAGCATCCATCAGTGGATCTTATTGGCAACAATTATCAATGTGGTGTTTGCCTAATGGTGATTTTCTAATTTTCTAATTCCCTTTTTTTTTTTCCTTTTAAATTTTATAACTTTTGTTTTGTTTTGTTTTTGAGACGGAGTCTTGC